TCGAGAAATTACATACACTTTGGCAAAACCAAGTGTATATAAAGTGTGTAAAGTCTCCGAGGAACTTCAAATATTAGCACTCGACATTCGCAGACAGATTCTCTCGTCATATCCAAAGTCCAGAAAGAATTCTTCGAGATATACGTCAGATGCATAAATTATTAGTCTCGTGTATCTTTCCTATGCAGAAACGTGCTCGACCAATCTTCTCGTGAAACAAAAAAAAAAAAAAAAAGAAAAGAACAGAGAGAGAAAGAGGGAGGAGTATTCGGCTGCGGGACGCAAACACGCGGCGGGAACGGGCCCGGGGCGCTTTCCGCGCGCGCTCCCCATGCATTTAAAACGCCGCGCCGTAAATCACGCGGTTAGAGCGGGAGCCCCGTCGCGTAGCGTAACGGAGGTGTCCGTCCGTCCACCCGTACGTCTCGTGGTTGCCGCCGCCGCCGCCACGTGGTTTCTGCGGCAAAACTATGCGGCGGCCGCCGCACGCCGACCCGGCGAATTTATGAATGGGAGAAGCCTATTGACAGATCGCGCGTCGATAACTCTCTCGTTAATGGCCCGTGATGGTGGGCCGCGCCGAGGGCCGGAGGGGCGAAGGAGGCGGAGGTTGCTCCCGGAGGGTAGGGTGGACGGTAGGAGAAACTTGGACTCACTTTGTGCCGACTCTCGTGGCGCGCCGCGCCGACGGCTCGGTCATTGCGACATGTAGGCAACCCAAGTAACACGCGCTCCGGATTCGATCGGTCAAAATAATCCGTCGGCAAGCCACGCGCCGATAGTGCTCCGTTCGTCTCGTGCGAGCGCGCGCGGTCCGAAGAGAGAAAATGCAACATCGAAATGTAATTTCCCAACGTAAATCGGCACGCGAGGGAATAAGATCTTTCCCCGTATCGGAAAGATAAATAACACTCGGACTGTATCGATAGCGATGTGTATGATTTTTTTCTTTTCGAATATTTCGTACATGTTAAAACACAAGGGATGTATGCAGACGGTATTGGAGTGACAAAGTTAATCTACACGTGAGATTCTCTTTCTTCCCCTCTGGAAATAATGTTCGTGAAATTTTGCTGAAAAAAAAAAAAAACTCTTTGACACGTATATTGTTATGCTTGTTTGTCGAACGTAAAGCTGCGGATATTTAGTTTGATAGAAGAGCGCATTTAAATTCTGGATGTTACAAAAGCCGATATGACATGTGTCGCCCACGCGGCCGCTCCAGGGTTAATAAAGCGAGATTTATTCTCGATTGCAATCCTGGATATTATGAAATTAACATTCGTGTTTTTGGTCGGCGGTTTGTCCGTCGGCATAAAATCAAACGGACGCGCGCGCGGTGTCCGGTACCGTCGCTCGCCGCTTACGTCGATAATACAGAAATACATCGCGAGCAGAAATAGATTTTCACGAAGGAATTATGTCACATAAGTTGCGCGCTCTCCGGCGGTGTATCTCGGCGCCGCGCGATACTATTCGCTGGTTAACCAGGTTCACGCCGTACTTGTCGATCGGAAAATTTGTTTGCTCAACTTTTTGCTAATCACCACACACATACACGCTCGTTATATTTCACGCCACGTTTTCGTGGTTCTCATCCCGACTCCGGCTATTTACGTCAACGGAATTTAGAGAACGAACGATCAGACACACTAACCGCGCGCGCGTGTGTGTAGAAATACACGGATTGCACTTTCACGTGAGATTGTATGTTAATCAGAATACTTTGAAAATACATGCAAAATATCTAAACTCTCATAATCCTCGAATACACTAAACTCGAGCGTAATAAGACTGCGTTAAACATTTTCTCGTTTTTTTCCTTTTTTTTCGAGAGAAATTGTTATAATATGCAAAAAATTAATTAATCCAATTCAAGATTATTTTATTAATTATTACGCTTCACCAGAACTCGATTGTAATGTCAAAGGTCGGAGACTTGACACGAAAATGCAAACAAACATTTAATTCATAGACTAACGCATTGTCTCACACAACACAGACAAATGACATTTGCATCGTATAAATTACGCGATAAATATGACAACACGCGCTTAATAGAAAAAAGTATTTTGCAACACGCGTGAACGCGCGATGTGCAATGAGAAGCAGCTCCGGGGGAGTTGGCCCCGATTTTTCGGAGTGGGTTAAGGGTTAAGAGCGGATTTTTCTGTCCAAGTTCAACGATGCGCCGGCGACACGCGCACACCGAGAGAGAGAAAAAGAGAGAGAGAGACAGCCTTTTGTCGCGTACGACGCGAAACCACGTGGAAAAACTGCTGGTTTTGTCGGTCATCGGGCCACCGATGGCGCACTGGCCGTCGGAAGCGCCGAAAAACCCTCTCCTCCACACGTCCTCCGCCTCCTCCCTTTCCTCCTCCCTGCGCCCATCCACCTTCATTCCCCTAGACAGTGCACACGCTGATTTATCGCCACCCGAATTTTGGTAGACGCAACCGCTCTGCGTCCGTCCGCCAATTTTACGGCCGTTACACGCGAAACCGCACCGCGCTCTTTCGCATTAAACGAGGGAAGTCGTTGTGCTTTCTTCCTTTTATATATACTTACGATGACGAAAATTACGAGTGGGTAATCTAGTCTAGCCTTAACCTTCGTTCTTTCAATCGACTCGTAGAGATCTTTTGAGGTAGTGCGTGAAAAATGTGAAAATCTCGAGAAAAGATTTCTGGTAGAATTCGTTTTCTCGAAAGAGTCGCCAAGAATTCCGACCATCGGAAAATCTTTGAAAAGTGTTTCAGAAATCGTATAAGATATTATTCATAGATCATTAGCGCGAGATCATTCGAGTGAGAGAGAAACGTGTTGAAATATTCTAATTTTTACTTGTCTTCTTCTTGTGAATAGTCACTTTTTAGATAGGATAAGTAACGACTTTTTTAAATGATTCATTTTTCTCTCGGTTTGAATGCTTTTGTCCGTAATGATCGTTGAAAGCCGTGTAACTGTACACCTTTTGTGATGCAGTTTCACATAAGTGGAACCTATCGATGATCGTGCAAACAAAACGCTGCTTGCGGTCACTACTCGAAGTGAGAGGTGGGGAGGGGGGGAGGGGGTGATAGCAAAACACCGGGTCTTCCTTTTTGACACTTACCCGGTAGCTCGATTTGAAGGACGAAAAGATGTTTTGACATTCGTCCGGTAATTCAATTGTGAAAATAAAGAGTTGAAATGGGAAGTTAGAAATGCAAACTTTTTTCGTTAATTGGAGAACTTGACAAACTTACGGCCGAATTCTAATATTTCATATTTAATTTTATACATCGTTTCTCCAAAAAAAAAAAAAAAAAAATCCCGTAAAATATTCGAAAAATTGAAATATATTGATTAACGGAGATTAACGCATTGATTAATCGAGGGTTAAGTAACGACGGTAACGAGATCGGCAAGTAATTCGAGTGTGCAAAACTGCTCGAGCGTGCTTTTCTCGTGGATTACAATTCCACGATATTCCCCTCTTCTTCGATTTTGTCGCAAAACATTTCGCGCCGCTCAAAGACCTCGTGACGAAAAACAATCGCTAGGAAGAGGGAAAGGCGAAGGGGAAATAGGAAAAACGACAAAAACGAGAGAAAGCGAGCGAGAGAGAGAGAGAGAGAGAGGAGAGAGAGAAAGAGAAAGAAAAAAAAAGAACAGAAACGGCGAGCGAGCGAGCGAGCGAGCGAGAGACGCGGCAAAAGCGAATATGTCTTTAAAAACACCCCCCTAGACCAGATCGGGTTGTTGTCGTCGTGGTAACCATAGCGACGCTGCCCCTTGATGGTTGGTTATAACCGTATCCCCACCCCGATCGTCTCGGAGCCGACGCTAGGTTTCCTCGCGGCGCTGGCCAAGCGAAGAAGAGGCAGCCAGCAGCCTCGGGGCGATCTCTCCCTCTTCGTCCCGCGTTTCCCGCCGTTTCCCTCCGTTCCTCACCACTCGCGTTTACCGTCACTCGACCCCGCAGTTTCCCTCGCGCGTCCATCCCTCCTTTCCACCGACGCGCTATCAAGCTGCCGCTGTCGCTTGTATCCCTCCCCTCACTTGTTCCCCCGCTGACTACTCCACGGCCCACACAGTACGCAAACCACCTCGTCGTTTCCCCCCTTTCCCCGCAGCTTCGCTTCGTCATCCTCTTTCCCCTTGCGGCCGCTCTCCTGCCACCCTTGCGTCCCCCCGCCGGGTCCAAGGAAACGCGGGATCGCTTCGAATTCAAACTACCGAACGAACACGAGGTTACCACGCGTCAAATCTGACACTTGGTCGTCCTACGCGCGCGATTGCGTCTCGTGCTCGATACAAACAAATTCTCATGAAAGTATGTTATTTTTCTTTATTTTAGGAAGACGCGAAGATGAGCGAGCGACCGAATGCGGTCGACTTTTGAGAAAAAAAAAAAAAAAAAAAACAAGAAAAACGATATAAGAGCGACGATGCATCGCGGAGAGAGATAGCGAGTCTTTGCTTTTTTCGGGCGTTTCTCTCTACCAAAGAAAGAAGCGCAAAAGCTGCCGTTGGGGCGCGGTTATCCGACGGAAGAGCAAGACGAACGGATTCCTTTCGACGAATATTTCCTTCGAGGCAAAAAACCGATCGTTGTGAGATCGCGTTTGGCGCAACGATTTCAGTGCATAACGTGGCCGCGTAACGTCATATTTTGTTTTTGTTCTAATCATCGAGAAACTAAACGCGTTAAACGGCAAACCACTCGACGATCGCCTGATCGTCGAGCCGCAAGCAATCCGCTCTCTGACGATATCGTCGGGCTCTCCGAAAGAGAGCCGCGCTCACGTAAGACCCGCTCTCCACGGCCGGTATGAAACGCGGAAACGCGGCACGCGTGTCGTACACGCCGAAGGAAGGGAATGCACACACACGGCGAAGCGCGAGGAGAGAGGGAAGGGGGAGATAGGGGGTTGCGAGAAAAAAGGACGACGGCCGGGCGGCGTGTTGTGAGCGAGAGTGAGAAGGATGCGCGTGGAACCGCGCGCGAAACTCACCTGACTGACGTCGCACCACATTATTATTTCGCTGACACTGACGACAGCATCTTGGTACGCTGCTGCTGCACTACCGCCGCACGGTGCTACCGCGACGGTCCGTATTTCCACGCAGTCCGCGTGATTTGCAGTCGCGTGAGTTACGAAACGAAGACAGAAAATAATCAAAACGAACGTACGTGGAACCGAAGTTCCACGTTACTTCGCACTCCGGGCACGACGAATAAACTCGGTGCCGTTGTCGATGTTCCGTTCTCCCTTTCTGTCTTTTTCGCTCTCTCTTTCACAGTGTCTTTCTCTTCACTTCAGTGACTTTTCTCTGTCTCTCCTCCGGTATGTGTCCGTTACAGAGCGCCGTTTTCTTCAATTTTTCTTTTTAATTTTAATTCACAGTCTCACGAAAATCCACTACGCGATTTGCGTATCGGTCGCCGGTGTTTTAGACCGATTAGCTTCTCAAGAAACATCGCACGATCACTTGGAACATATGACAACGCGACTGTCACCAACGCGCATGCTAGTAGCTAGCTGGCCATGCAAAGCGTTACTGGAGTATTCTGACAACAGTTCTCGCCGAGTAGCGCCTCTCGGTTTTCCCCCGAACACACGCTCGGCCGTTTCCGTCGGCGTTCGGCCCACCTGCACTTCGACACGACCGCCAGTGCCGTAAATACACGCCGGCGCGCCCTCATCCAAATGCGTAACGCGTGCTTTGTCCGTGGCAAGTTTGATCGACGCAGAAATTAAAACGCAATATATATATATATATATATATATGTATATGTATATATATATATATATATATATATACGCTCGCAACGAGAAGTGATCGTCCAGAAAAACAGTTTGTTACCGCGACTCACGGAACTTTCGCACTGATATATATATTTTGATAAAAAGCGAGATATTGCAAGTTTTTCCATCAACGATAACACACGTTATGTGTGTATGTGTGCGTGCGCGCGCGCTTTCCATTCCCTAACATTTGACATGTCGAAAAAAAGGTCATTCACTTGCCGAGCGCATAATGACATATTGTTGGCGCCCGAACGTCCCAATGTATCTGATATATAAATGGACGGGTACATTTCATTCACGCCGCGTAAATTAATTACATAATTAATATTGGATTTAATACCGCAGAACTGTGTGTGTCACTCTGACCGATCGCGAAAGGAAACTCATTGTACGAACTACGTAGCTTTTCAAATATAAACAATGCTTTTATGTCGAATGATTAGCGGTGCTCATCAGCGCGCACACATCAGGGATCAGAGGAAAGAGTTTGAAAAGAGAGGGCGGGGGAGGGAGAGGGAACGAGGAAAATGCCGGTTCGCGCGTCTCGGAAAAAGAAACGGATTCTCGAGACGTTAAATATCCTCCTCTCTCGCAGAAACGTCCGCGCTCGCCTGATCGAGAAAAATCGCTCTGCTCGAGAAAGTCCGCGTGATAGCGCGGCCGGTCGATGAAAGTTATCGGAGAACGGATCGACTGAGGTCGCTGAAATATTTCAGCGACACGGCAGAAACTCAAAATGACTTCGCAAAGCTTCTGCCCGATCGCGCACCGATCTCGTCGCGGTTCTGTTTAATATCTTACAACGACGACCGAGATAGCACGGTCAATCGCGCCACTGTGCCGCGACGCCAGGACCTTGCGACTACGGCAAGGTGATCACGCGCTCAACTTGCGAAGAGCCGCGCGAACGACGAAATGTTTCCCGCACGTCTTCTGTCGCTTAATTTAAAAAAAATTTAGGAAACGCGCGCACGCGATATCTCTGAAAAGAAAAAAACGTCCTTACACCGCATCAAATTTCTTTAATAAGAATCTTAATTTCTCTTCTGCGCGTCGTGTCGTATTTATCGACGCTATTAATAAAATAAAAAAAAAAAAAAAAAAAAAAAAAAAAA